GGCAGAGGCAGGCGGATCTCTGTGAGTTCGGGACCAGCCTGGTCTACAGGAGCCAGTTCCAGGATTCCAGGACAGTCTCCAAAGCCACAGGGAAACCCTGTCTCGGAAAAAGAAAGAAAGAATGAAAGAAAGAAAGAAAGAAAGAAAGAAAGAAAGAAAGAAAGAAAGAAAGAAAGAAAGAGAAAGGCAATTTATATTAGGGAACAGAGCACATGTATTTCTCCCCCTAGGACCTCATCCAAGGGCTCAGTCATGGGTCTGCTAATACGGGATCTGTAGAACTATCTCCACCCAACATCTTCCAGCCCCTGTGCTGACGTAGGAACTGATTGTCCAGACAAGTGTCACTGTAGACTCAGTCGTAGGTTCTAGAAATTTCCTAGTTCTTTCTCAACTTCACTGCCCTTGTCTAAACTTTACCATCCCAGTCATTTACTCTAGCAAACGATTTTGTTTTTGTGAAATGTTCATCATATTGAAACATTACCTTTGTATAGCATTGTCAATAGCAGTACATGTAATAATATTTTAATAATTTATATAGGTGGTGGCATGGTTTCACAGCTCTACAATCTTTATTTTAATTGAAATATAATCATATTACCCCCTCTCCCTTTTTTTCTTCCGGCCCCTCCCTCAAACTTCTCTCATGTCTCCTGTTCTTAAGCTGAAATTCTTCTTTTGTGTGCATATGTACTAATAGATATTATATGTGATATATGTATGCATATGTGTGTATTTTTGCATGTGTATAATTTATATACATAACACCTGCTAGGTCCATTTCTGTTGTATGTGTACATACGGTTTCACAGCTGGCCGCTCTGCATTGGATAATCAATCTGACCTTACTCCCAAGAGAAGCTAACTCTCCTTTCTCCAACAGTCAGTCATTTCTTGTGGTCCTTTTTCTGGGGCTGAGACCCCATGAGAGTTGCCCCCTTCCCATTAGCATGTCCATTGGTATTTCTATTTTTCCAGTCTTGTTTATGCTGCCATAAACTGCCATAAACTGCAGAGACGGATTAAAACCAGACAGCCTCGTATTCTGGCTCTTACAAAGTTTCCACCCTCTCTTCCAGAATGTTCCCTCAGTATAGATTCAGGATCTATAATGTAGATTATAATATAGATGTACTCACGGGGCACTGGACTCCCCACCAATCCATTGATCTTTGCATTGTATCCAGAGTTGTGGTTTTTGTTGTTTGTTTTTGTGGTGTTCTCTATCTGCTGTAAAGTGAGGCTTCTGTGATGGGAGGTGGTAGCTACTCTTATCGGTGGGTGTAAGGATAAGACGTAGAATATGGTAAGTGATTGTGCTGGTCTAGCAGAGCGGTGGTAGTGGAGTCTTCTCTAAATTCCATGTTCAGTAGTCCCAGAAGCTGCCTAGGTTTCTGTTACCAGGCATGTTTTCCCTCTTATGGAATGGGCCCTAAGTCCATTTAGACAGCTTGCTGATGACTTTTGAGTGCCAAGTCTTGTGCCTCTGTAAATATCTTGCCATGCTGGTCATTGTTTTGGTTCCTAGGTATTGCACCTGGTAGAACTATGCTTCCCTCCCTTGGCACCCTTTGTAGATATTATTTTCTGGAACCATAAAAGCTATACCATAGGAAGGAGCTTTGGCGTCAGATCCAGCTGGAGTCACCCAATCTGTGTGTCCTAAGTATGTGGTGTCTTTGTGATGGGTGCCCACCCTCATTCCCTGAGAGGTGAACAAAGGCTATGTTGCTAATCTGTATTATTCTGGAAGCCACATAGACTACCCTGACCAGCTATTCAAAACTAGAAAATGGAAAGACATCATGGGTTCATGGGCCGGTGGAATTAACATGAAAATGGCCATCCCGTCAAAAACAATGCACAGATTTAACCCAATTCTAATGAAAATACCCACAATATTCCTCACAGAAATAGAAAAAAAAGTACTATAGTTGTCATGGAAGCATAAAAGGTCCTGTATAGCCAAAGCAATCTTGAGCAATAAAGAGTGATGCTAGATGGATTGCTATTCTAGACTTCGAGAAATATTATAAACTCTTATTTAAAGACTAATATGGTACCGGCACAAAGAAGAGATATGTAGATCAATGGAGTAAAACATAAGACCCGGACATAAATACTCATAAATACTGAGGCCAAAGGCAACAACACTGCAGGGAAGATACGATTTTCAAGAAATAGAGCCAGGGATACTGAAAATCCACATACAGAAGAAAGTAGGCCCATGTCTGTCATCCTCCACAAAACTAGATTCAATTAGATCAAAGACTTCCATTTGAAACCTGAAACACCACAGGTGCTAGAAAACCCCATCTTGTAGGCTGCGCCTAATAAGATATAAGTGTAGGAAGGGACTTTGTAAACAGGACTCTGTTTACCGAGGAATTAAGGCCAACAACTAACAATTGGGATCTTGTGTAACTGGAAAGCTTCCGTGCAGCCAAGAAAACCATCAGAAATCCACAGAATGGGAGAGAATCCTTGCTACATACCTTATAGAGTATGAACATCCTGAATATACAAAAAAAAAAAAACTCCACAAGAAAAAAATAAAATCAGAGTAAGGAAACCAATGATCAGACTTAAAAAAAATGGACAAGTGATCTAAACAGAGAGTTATCCATAGAAGAAAGAAAAATGGCTAAGAAATACATCAAGAAGTATTCATCATCCTTAG